CCGGGGGCGGGGGAGAAGAAGACATAACAATTACAATTCCTTGAAGTTGACACGACAAGCATACAGAAAGGACATTGTTGGGTGTGAGGGGAGAGAGGGAGGAGGGAGGGAGGTTTCGGTAATGGGCCACAATAACCAACCACATTGTATATCAACAAAATAAAATTAAAAAAAAAAAAAAGAATTCATCAGTAGATCTCATAAATGAAAATGTGAAAAACTTCTAAAACAATGACCTTAGCCTTGTACAGATTAGGAGCAGTTGTTACCCATGATATTCATTGTGCCTCTATAGCTTGCCATTTAAAAAACTTTGTATGTATGAAAAATTGTTTGGCAACCATTTAATGAAAAACAATTTTATAATGTTCATAAAGTTATTTAATGTATTATTTGGTCATAGAAATAAATAACTGAATGTCTTCATAATCAGTCTGATGGCATGGGGATTTCTTCCACGCATACCTAATTTGAAGATTAACCTAATTGCAGAGCTACCATCTTATGTTGAGTTTGGCTGCCTAGCTTGGAAACTATTTTGAACTCTATTTTAAAGCATTAATAAATATATGTTAAAGTAATCTCTAAAAGAATAAATCAAAATAGAGAGAAAATGATGGTTTCAAAGCAATATAATGTATTTTATATTGAGAAACCCATGTTTTTATTTTGTATATTTCAGGTGTGAGTATACAGTTTCTTTGTTCCCCTAGACCTGAGGAGCCTATTGAACACGTTACAGCATGCCTACAGGCCTTACATACCTTGCTAGATTCTCCTTATGCCCGAATCCATATTGCAGAAGATCAGGTACAGTGTGTTTATATAATAGATAATTAATTGTGTGCCTTGATTTTTTTTTTTTTTTTTGTCATTTTTCGTGACTGGCAATGGATCGCAACCCTCAGTGTCGCGCCCGTACCGGACCGGCAACGGGATCGCAACCCTCGGTGTCGCGCCCGCACCTCGCTCAGCCAGTGAGCGGCCGGTCTGTATGTGGGATCCGAACCCTCAGTGGGAGTGCCACCCCGCTCCCAAGCGGCGCATAGTAGCAGTGCGCCACCGGGCCGGCCCTTGTGTGCCTTGTTTTAATCATACTTACCTTAAGATACTGTTCTCACATAGGAAATAAATATTACATATCATATTAATTAATTAGAATTAATACCTTATATAAGTATCCATGATTTTGGCTCTACTGAATCTTGGATGACCACTCAGAACTAGACTAGAAATAGTCACTATACCTTCTTTGATTTGTTCATCAACAGTGAAGTAAACTAAAAATTTAAGGATACCTTCAGTTCCAGTTAATGATTATAAAGCTATTAAATAAATCATGTGACTTTTGAATGTTTGATAAAGGTTTATCTCTCATTTAAGGAAATTTTTTTGCGCTAGCACAAGTGCTTATCTAAGGTTTAATGAACTACTTTTTCTAATTTCTTTTTTTTGTTTGTTCTTTATTGGCAGCTGGCCTGTAGAGGCATCCGATCCCTTGATCTTATTGTTAGAATACTGTGCTCTAACCAACTGAACCAACAAGCTAGCCTTACTTTTTCTAATTTCTTTATGGAATATTTAGGGGACTTTATTCATGTTACAGAAACAAGCTATACTGCATTTGTTATTCTTTTTAATTAGGAATTTTTTAATTTTCATGATGATAAGAACCATTTCTTTTGACACCACTACCACATGATATTATTTGGGGTAATTTTTCACAAAATGCGACAGATAAAAAATAAAGTAGATATAATTTTATCATATCAAAATTATTGTTTGTACATGATGCTAACCAAAAATAAAACAAAACACATGCTGTGTGTTTTGCTCAGTTAGAGTGCAGCCTTGTTACACCAAGGTCAAGGGTTCGGATCCCCATACTGGCCAGCTGCCAAAAAAAAAAAGAAAAAGACAAGATTTACTTACTGATTCGCTCTTTTTGTAACCCAGCCTTGTAGCCTGAAGCTGTACCTCATTTAAACTACAAATTTCTAAAGAATCTTCTGGATTTTTTCAAATAGTCCCACCTGTAAGGTTTAATCTGTGAATGAACAGGGACTACTATATTTAAACTCAGTTATTTGGGTTTTAACATAATATCTCACACAGCTAGCTATTTTTAGATTTAGTAATATTTTATTCATTCAAGTATTACTTTACAGTGGAAAAATTAGATGGATTTTTTTTTCTATATTTTCAACATTGTCAGAGTATACTGACTCATATTATATCCAACTACTTTCACCCTGTGCCTGTTGTCCTTCAAACACAGTTTGAGGCTATAGATGTCAAAAATTATTTTACTGCCTCTGGATTAGGAGATAAGTACAGTGTGATAAGTACTATGTTAGTGTATGTACATGTAGAATGAGAGTAGAGAGGAGGAGCACTGCCATTATGATAGGAAAGTAAAAGATGGCTTCTTAGAGGAGAAGATGGTTAAATTTTTTTAAAAAGATGAATTAGTGAGGCAGTGCAAGAGGGATGGGTTTTTATCTGAGAAAGAAGAACAAATGCATAGACTAGGAGGCATAAGGTAACATGAAAGTTCATGGGCTCTGCAGTCTTTTACTATGGCTGATGTGAATGAAACATGCAGAGGTTAGATAAGGCTGGACAACAGGGTAAAGACCAAATCATGCACATTTATTTATGGCATGTAAAGGAGTTTGAACCCTATCCTGAAAATGATCGGGGATCATTAAAAATGTTTAAATGAATCACATGATTAACTTTATGTTTTAGAAGGAGTACTCTATCAACCTTATAGAGATTGGTTTTTAAGGGATGAGAAGAGAGGCAAATTATGAGGCTCTCCTCATGATTCTAGAGAATTAAGAGTATGCTAGCCTAGGAAAACTGAATGAAGAAGAAAAGAAGGCCAAGATTGAAACCATGATGATAAATAGCATTTAAGGATTGAGAAGAGGGAAATAAATCAGCAGTGGAGACTACTAGAGAGGTAGGAGGAAAAGCAAAAGAGAAGAGAGTTATCAAAGACAAGATAGGAGTTTCAAGAAGGGTAAACAGCAGTATCAAAAGAAACAGAATCCAGTAAACAAGGACAGAAAAGAGTACAGAGGAGGTTACTGGTGACCTCCCACAGAGGATTTTCTTAGCTGGGTAGAAAACAGTTTGTAGAAGATGGAGGAGTGAATGAAAGGATAAAGGAGGTGGAAGCATCTAGTCTGGGAAAGGAAGGAGCAGGACAGAAGAGAACACAGGGGTGGATAAAAGGATCTGAGAGGCTTTTGGTGAGGGGAACAGGCTTTAGATATGAGAGTCTTGAGCAATTTCCTTGCACTGAGGAGAGTAGCTTTACTAGAAAGAGTGGCTGAAGACATGTGAGATATGATTGATGTCCTTGAAGAATCCCTGGGAAGTCAAATAGAATGGAATAGAGAGCACATGAAGAAAAATTAACCAGCCTTAGATAAGAGGCTGGACTCATGATATTAAGGAAAGAGGTAAGGGTGGCTTTGGTTGCAGTTAAACTTTTTCCTCCTCTTTTAAATTTGAGGCAGGTTTATTGGATGGATTTGATGTGCAAGATTGAAAGAGGCTCGAAGTGGGTGGTAAAAGTTTGTCATAGTTGCTAAGTTCTTCCCAATAAGAGAATGGTCATCTTTGAATATAAATCTTATCTAAATATATAAATAATAAAGTCTTTTGTTGCTTGAAAATATGTTGGGGTTAAAAAAAAAAAAGAAAGAAAATATGTTGGGATAAAATGTGACCATTTCTCAAGATTGTTATAATGTTCTTATTCTTTATTGGAGAACAAATTTTAGCTACCAAGTTTTTCTTTATTTTTACATGTGTATTTTCTCAGATTTTAATAATATAAATCTGTCCTTTGAAATTACAATTAATTAAATTTATTTGTATTAATTTATAATAGCTGATTGGTGTTGAGTTGCTGAGTGTTTTGCACCGCCTCTTATTGACCTGGAATCCATCATCTGTCCAGCTGTTGGTTACTGGAGTTGTACAACAGATAGTAAGAGCTGCTCAGGATTATTTGCAAGAAAAAAGAAACACTCTAAGTAAGCATTCAAAATTTCACTAACTTCAAGTAAATCTTATTTGTACACTAATTTTTAAAATATTAATGCCAGGAAGTTTTAAATAAAATTTAATCACATGTTTAGAAAAACTGAAATTTACTTTCATTAGAAAGGAAATTTCATTAGAAATGAAATTGCCGATAGTTGACTGTTTTTCACCTTCAAAAGTGTAGTTTCATCTGGTTCAACCTCACATATGCATTATTTCTATTATGAAATAAATAAAGATTTTCCAAGTAAAAAATGAACTAATTCTAGTAAGGCAGAGAATTATACTGAGAAAGACGTGGCATCAGATAGACATTTACTTGTAAATCCTTTTGAAAGAATTTCTTAAATATAATTATTGTTTTGTTTTATATACTATTTGTTATTTTTTTTGCTGGAAATTTCACCAAATTATCTTTTACCTAAGATGAAGATGATATGGAAAAAGAGTCCTGTACTGTATTAGGAGAAGGAGGTGACAGCGGTGGTCTCATTCCTGGCAAATCTCTTGTGTTTGCAACTATGGAGCTGTTGATGTTCATTTTAGTACGGCACATGCCACACCTCAGTACCAAGATGTCAGACTCTCCAAGTCACATAGCCACTAAAACTCGACTGTCAGAAGAAAGTGCTCGTTTGGTGGCATCCACAGTTACCATACTCTCTGATTTACCGTCCCTTTGTTCACCTGCTGGTACAGTATTGATCAGTATTTGGAAATGTATTATATTACAATAGACAAAAATGAGCTTGCCTTCAATTTTCAGCACTGTTATACTTATTTTCCTCTGAAATCTCAAGTATGAAATGAGAAGTTGATCTTTTTTAAGGGTTTGTTTACCTTTAGGAGCCTATAAAGATTAAAAATTCAAAACCCCAAAATTCTAAGGTGCTCTTTTCAGATATGTTTCAAGCAAGAGATGAAATTACAGATTGAGGAAAGACATTGAGTGTCGGCAGACAGACATAAGGTGAAATTACTAAAGTCTTTATTTTCTAATGTAGTTGCCACTCTTGAGCAACATTGACAAACTAAAGAAAGAAATGTCAGAGGAGAGTGACAGCCAACTCTAAAGAGCATCTAAATAAATTATGGCTGAAAAAGAAAATAGCTGTCTGCAGATATTGAAGAACAAAAGTAGGCTTTTCCTCTGTTTTATCTGGAGGGTAAAACAGTATCCATAGATATATAGTTAAATTTTAGCTCAACACAAGGAAGATCTTTTTAGCTCCTAGAGTTACACTACATATGTGAAAATAATGAATTCTCCATCATTGGAGCTTTGCAGGCAGAGGCTGCAAGGCTGCATGTGAGAGTGGTAAAGGGATTCTTTTTCTGGGGGGTGGGGGGGGGTGGGATTCTTTCATTAAGTGGGAGGTTGAGTTTGATGACCTTAAGATTTCTTTCAGCTACAAAATCTAGGAATCTTTCACTTCTTTGCTTACCTCAATAGTCTTTTCATTTTCCTGGCTTGATTAGGCTGATTTTAGTACACTGAGAGTTGATTACATGTCTTAGAATTGCTGTAAGATTCACCAACTTATTAAGATGCTTCTCAAGTCTATAGTACTATTTCCCTTCTGTTTTTCTATCATCATTTCTCATTTTCATTATGAAGGGCGTGAAATATTAAATAGGTTAAATACTGGAAGTCATAAAAACAAGGCTAGTTGGAAAAAAAAGAAATATCAATTCTGTCTTCTTTGAAATAACAAAGCATTTTATTTTCTTTTCAAACATTGAATAGTAATGCAGCAAATTTTGTATAAAGCAAGGAAAATAAATATTAAACCACAATTAATTGCCAAAAATATAAGCAATGGAAACAGCTATAATATTGCAATTGAATTAGTTATGAGGTAATCTGGTTTGTTTTTATTTCAGGATGTATGACAATCCTGCCCACAATTTTGTTCCTAATTGCAAGAATATTGAAAGACACAGCAGTAAAGTCTGCAGATAATCAGGTTCCTCCACCAGTCAGTGCAGCTCTTCAAGGGATTAAAAGTATTGTGACACTTTCAATGGCCAAAACTGAAGAAACTCAAAAACAGTGGACAGCTCTAATTCGTAGCACTCTTGCATGCATCCTAGAATATTCTCAACCAGGTAACCTATCAAAGTTTTACAGTTTTTAATCTTATAGGATATCTGTTCCCTAATTGATTAATTAGTTGAATAAACTTGTCAGAAAACTGCTGTATAACACTGAATCACCTCAGAGGTGTTTTAGTCACATCTTTCAGATATGAATTTTAATACCCTTTTCTGGATTGTTGACTTTAAATGCTCTTGTCTTAGCTCTTAGCACTTATATACATTTTGGGAGTTTAAAAAAAAAAAAAAGAAAAAAGAGGAACAGAATATGTACCCAGAATTGATATGTAATATGTTTGCTTCAAGATGTTTTTTTAATAGAAGTAATAAAATATGGGAGAAAATTGAAGTACCTGTCACTACCAAGGTACTCCCAAATGGAACCACAATCTTGATATTGCTATATTGCATTCTAGAAATATCTATAAATAAAAATAAGTATATTTTCTATATTAATATGTATATGTATTATATACAGAATGAGTTCTGTTTATAGCATCTCATTCTACCTTTATTCTCTCACTCAATAAATTTTTTTAGATCTATCAATGAGGATATATAAAACTTTCATTCATTCTTTTAACTCCTATGTAGTTTTTTATCACGTGTTTATCAATTATTATCTATTCCCGTGTCAATGGATATTTTTGCTGTTTCTAATTTTTCCCAATTACAAACATTGCAGCAGTGAACATCCTTATAAATTCCTCATGCACATGTGCTGTGAGAGATTTTCTAGGATATACACCTAGAAGTAGAATCGATGGCACATTTTAATTTTAATTTTTTCAGACATTGCCAAATTGCTGTCTAGCATAGCTATAGGAATTAACACTCCCAGCAGCAGTGTGTGATTAATCACTATTTCACCACATCCTCACCAATATTTGGTATTGTTAGACTTTTTAATTTTGCTATATGATGGGTAAAATACACTATTTTACTGTTTTAATTTGCATTTCTCATTTTCCTAGTTTGTATAAGCAGTTTTCATGTTTGTGTTTAATTTTGGAGGAAATACTTATTCACATTTTTGTCCATTTTTCTTTTGTTTGACTTTTTCTCTCAAGTTTTATTTCTGTTGTAAAGAAAATGTAAAATAACTAAAAACAGAGTAGTAAGGAAAGATTTGTCATATCCTCTATTAAAACATTTCTATACTATCTAAAACTGCAGAACAGGTCCAAGAATAAATGGATGGGGCAGTGAAACAACAGACTGCTTTGAAGCAGAATTCATTCACATGGAAATACATGATAAAGGCACATTCATTATTCCTCAAGTGGTTTGTGTCAGTTAGCTGAGAAATAAATTCTAGTTAGTCCCTCACCTTATATCATGAATCAAAATAAATATCAGGTGACTTAAAATGATAATATAAAATTTTAAAAATAGGAAAACAAAGAAAATATAGGTAAATCTTTTATGTCAGAACGGCAGAGGACTAACTGTAAGTCAATGGAATATACCAGAGGCAAATATCAGTGTATTGGTCTATATAGAAATTAACTTTTACCCATCATAGCATCTTACATAAAAGGGTAGCTAAAAAAAAAGAGAGTTGAACAATTGACAATAATATTTATGTCAGTGTTGATATCATTAATATACACAGAGGTCCTGTGAGAAAAACACTTAACATTCAGTAGAAGAAAGTAAAGAACACCCATTGTAAAAAAGGAAATAGAGATGACCACCAAGCATAAAAAATAAATCAGCCATATTAGTAAGTAAGGAAATACAAACAAAAACATAGTAATGTGAATTTTACTTGTAAAACTGATTTTTTTTTTTTAATGTGACTGTGTACAGCTGCAATTGGCATCAGGAAAACGACATTTCAACTTTCAGGGAATCAATTCTGCAGTACATACAAAGAGCCTTTAAAAATATACTCTTTGGCCTTGATCAAAAAAATTATGTTCAAGGTTATTTATCACCTATTATATCTATTTTATATAATGAAAATGTGTGACAAATATATCTGTCTGTTAGTGGGAATGATTCTAAACTACATGACAGTATATTTATTTGGGTTATGGATCTATTAAGTGTCATGTTTATAAGCAACTATATAAAGACTAACCAAGACCAGAAGAAATAAACCAAAACCTAGAAATTAAACCTATTCAATCACTGGGTGGTAGCATCTCAAGTTTTATTTTCTTTCCCATACCCTTTTTATATTTTAAGCAATGAACATGTATTACTTTTATAACATGATTTTAAAAAATTATGAGGGAAAATTTTAGTTTTATTAATGTTACTAAAACCATTTTAGCTTTAGCAAGAGTTAATATTTTACTTAAGTAAATTTTAAGTAAATAGATTTTAACAAACCGATGAAACATTAAATGCCATATTTATGTATGTATGTATGTGTATATATGTATGTAGATAGATATATGGATATATAGGAATAACAAGAAGAAATAGTTAAGAATTTGATTAAAAATATAAATATTGGACCAGCCCCGTGGCTCCCTTGGGAGAGTACAGCACTGGTAGCACCGAGGCCACGGGTTCGGATCCTATATAGGGATGGCCGGTGCGCTCACTGGCTGAGCGTGGTGCAGACCACACTATGCCAAGGGTTGCAATCCCCTTACCGGTCAAAAAATAAAAATAAATAAATAAAAATTTATTTATTTATATATATTTATATTTATAAATATATATATTTATATATATATTTATTTATATTTATAGAATTTATTTATTTATATATATATATTTATATATATTTATATTTATAAATATATATATTTATATTTATAAATATATATATTTATATATATATTTATTTATATTTATATATATAAATATATATATTGCTTTAATTTGGGGGGAGGGAATCCAGAGTAAATATTTTTTTAATTGTTAATTATAAGGGAAGGTTTTGATATTTTATCAAGCTAGCTCATTCAGATGAGGTCGGTTTAAACATCTGATATTAGAATTAACTTGCCTAAGATATTCTGTGCAGAACTGGATTTTCAGGAGACACAGTTATGATCAAGGTATAGTATTTGTATAGCAAAGCAAGCACATCCCTTGCTTATCAAGAAAAGTTTTTAAATTCTTTTCCTATTATAAAAGCTGAGATCTTCTACTTTAAAAAATGTGTATGCATGTATGTATGTGAATATACACAGACACAGACTCTCTCTGTCTTTCTCTCTTTGTCTCTCTCGTCTGTAAATATCCTTGGATGTAATGAATCACTTTTAATTTTCCTTTATAGAACCTTTGATTTGGAAGTAAATTCAAACTTTCAAAAAAACTACAAGAAGAGTTGAGTTTACTCCAGTATACCCTTCTTCTAGGTTCACTAGTTGTTAACATTTTGCCACATACACTTTACTACTCTCTCTATGACCCACTTATTATTGATAATATTATTATTGTTAATTCTGCTGAACCATTTGAGAATATGTTGAAGTCATCATGACTCATTTACTCCTAAATACTTAATGGATATCCTAAGAACAAAGACATTCCCTTACATGACCTCAGAAGAATTATCAAATTTAGGCAATTTAACATTGATACAGTGCTAATATGCAATTTTATGTCCTAATAATGATCATCAAAGAATGTTTTTCTTTTTATTTAGTTGTCATATTGCTTTAGTCTCTTTTAATCTGGGGCATTTCCGAAACCTTTATTGTTTATGACATTAATGTATTTGAAAAGTATAGACCACCTGTTTTGTAGAATGTTCCTCACTTTTGAATTGTCTGATTTTTTTCCCTCCGTTTATGTTAGATTCAGTTTATGCATTTTTGCCAGGAATGCTTCATAAGTAATGTTATGTCTTTCTCAGTGCATCATATAAGGAGGCATATAATGTTGCTTTGTCTCACTATTGGGAATCTTAACTCTAGTAACTTTGTTAAGATGGTGCCTGCCATGTTTCTCCACTATAAAGCTGCCATTTTTCCCTTTTATAATTAGTAACTAATCCGTGAGGAGATATTTTGAGACTACCTCAATTTGTCTGTTCCCCATCAAACTTTCACACAGTGGTTTTAGCATTTGTGTCTGAATCATTTATACTGTGATAGGTTCAAAATGATAATTTTCTAATCTCTACCTTTTATTCCTTTTACATTTATTAGCTGGCATTCTACCGAAAGGAAGAGCTTTTTCTTTGTCCTGCCTTTATTATATATTTATATGTTTATTTATTACTATCAGTACAGACTCATGATTCTCCTTTTAATTCAGTCAGTCCATTACTGTTATTTTAACATATCCCCTTTATTTCTTGAGCATTTTTTTACTTTCTGGCACCAAGATGTAGCAGACTAATTTTGTATTTTCTCTGACTCTGTTGTAGAATCACTCATTCCTCCAAAAAGCTCTGGTTCCTTTTAGTGGAGATTTGTTTTAAGTGCCCAACCTTCTGAAAGTCACAATTTAAAAATAAAATAATTTTCTGACAAAAAATTAAATGCTGTATCACAAACTCTGAATAAGAGATTGTTCTCATTCTGCCTAAAATAACATTTCTCTATGGAGTCTCAGATTTTTATATTTATGACTCATGTTATTATGGTGAGATTGGTGAGATTCTTCAAATTTTATATCTCCTTTTTCTTAGCCTTTTGTTTCTCTTTATGTTAAGTTAATGGACTTCTAGACTGTTGTTCTTCACCCATTCTGTTTTATGAAAAGCTAGTATCCTCATCATGAGATAATGTTAGCATATCAAATATATATGTTCATAAGCCTAATAAAGTACTGATTATCGTTAGGTATTTACAGTTAACAAATTAGCCCAGATTCACACATAAAGTGTTGATGAGTTCAGTTGTTGAAAAAATGATAATCACAAAATAGTTTGGATCTCTTATTTTATATGTACAGTAGTATTGTTTTTTAGACTGAATGTATTTCCTGTATTTCTAATTACATACTGCATTTCTGTTAGGTTAAAGTTGTATCTATTTCTGAATAAATGATTGCAATAGCAAGAAATTCTTTAAAAGTGTTAGAAGATTGTCTTC